GAAAAAATTGATAAAAAAAGAAATGGAAAATAAAATTAAAAAATTGTAATAAAGTTTTTTAATAAATTGAAATAACTAAAACTTTAAAATAAATATTATTTAATTAAAATTGAAAAATTATGTTTTATCATAAAACAAAAAAAATCAAAAGAATTTTAAATTCAAACAAAAAATTTATAATATGAAGAAAAAAGAAATTTTAAAATAATTTTAAAATATATATAATAAAAATAAAAAGAATTAAATAAAAGAAAGTTACTGAAATTAAATAAAGAAAATATAAATATTATTTAATTAAAATTGAAAAAATTAAATTATATCATAAGTAGAAAAGAATTAAAAATAATTTTAAATATAAGAAAATTATTTATAATATGAACAAAACAAATTAAAAAATAAATAAATAAGGAAAAAAATTCTCCATCCACGAAGAGTCGCCATTTGAAAGGAAAAAAATTCTTTTTTATATATAATATGAACGAAAAAAATTAAAAAATAAATAAATAAGGAAAACAAATTTCTATCCAAGGAGAGCTGAAAAATTAAATTATATCATAAGTAGAAAAGAATTAAAAATAATTTTAAATATAAGAAAATTATTTATAATATGAACAAAACAAATTAAAAAATAAATAAATAAGGAAAAAAATTCTCCATCCACGAAGAGTCGCCATTTGAAAGGAAAAAAATTCTTTTTTATATATAATATGAACGAAAAAAATTAAAAAATAAATAAATAAGGAAAACAAATTTCTATCCAAGGAGAGCTTTATTTTGAAAGGAGAGAAAACTCTCCCTTAAATAAGAGAGTTTCTCTCCATCGACACACATATTATGTGTGTGGATGGAGAAAATATGGAGAAATTTAAAAAAAAAAATCCTCTTTTTTTTAGTTTGTTTTGTTCATATTTTAAAATAATTTTTTTGATTTAAAATTATTTTTAATTCTTTTTCTTTATGATAAATTTTTATTTTTTCAATTTTAATTTAATAATATTTATATACTCTTTATTTAATTTTTATAAATTTCTTTTGTTTAATTCCTTTTTGTTTTTATTATATAATTTTTGAAAATTGTTTTAATATTTCTTGTTTTGTCATATTATAAATAATTTGTTCTTCTATTTAAAAATCATTTCATTTCATGGTAGAACGTAATTTGTTCAATTTTAATTAAATAATATTTTTTTATTTTAATTATTTTAATTTAATTTATAATAATTTTTTTTGTCTGTAATTTATTTTTTGTTCTTTAATTTGTTAAATCATTTAGTTTGCAACTATCATTTTTCGTCAATACGAATAAAAAAACTAAATGATTTAACAAATTAAAGAACAAAAAAAAAATTGCAGGCAAAAAATAATTATTGTAAAATTTTTTAATTAAATTGAAATAATTAAAATTAAAAATAAATATTATTTATGTAAAATTATAAATTACATTTTATTATAAAATGAATAGAATTAAAAAGAATTTTAAATCGAAAAAATTATTTATAATATGGCGAAAAAACAAAAAAACATAATAAAAACAAAATAAAAGAAATTTCAAGAATTAAATAAAGAATATATAAATATCATTTAGTTAAAATTGAAAAAATTAAATTTTATCATTATAAAAAAAGAATTAAAAAGAATTTTAAGTTGAAAAAATTTACTTATAATATAAATAAAAGTAAATAAGGAAAAAAATTATCTCCGTGGAAGGAGATAAATCTCTCCATCGACATACATTCAACCTCTCTATCCACACACATTTGAATGTGTGAGATGTCCCCATCCACACACAGTGGGATGGAGAGATTGAATTTTTTTTTTTTCATTTATTCTTTTAAATTTATTCTGTTCATATTGTAAATAATTTTTTTCAATTAAATTTTTTAATTCTTTTTTCCATGATAAAACTTAATTTTTTCAATTTTAATTAAATAATATATTTATATATTTTTTATTTAATTTTTGTAACTTTCTTTTATTTTTATTTTTTTGAAAATTTTGAAAAATTTTCTTTTTTCTTCATATTATAAATATTTTTTTGTTTGATTTAAAATTATATTTTTATGATAAAACGTAATATTTTCTATTTTAGTTAAGTAATATACATTTTTAATTTTACTTATTTCAATTTAATTAAAAAACTTTATAATAACTTTTTTTATTTTATTTTTGCCTACAATTTTGTTGTTTTTTAATTTGCTAAATCAACAAAAAAAAAGTTATTGTAAATTTTTTAATTAAATTGAAATAATTAAAAATAAAAATAAATATTTTTTATTTAAAATAAACAAATTACGTTTTATCTTAAAAAGAATTTTAAATCGAACAAAAAATTATTTATAATATGAAGAAAAAGGAAATTTTAAACAAATTTCAAAATAATATAATAAAAACAAACTAAAAGAAAGTTACGAAAATTAAATAAAAAACTCAATTAAACTGAATTTGACAATTATACATCTTAATCGATTAATTAATCATATCCAAATATTCATGAGTCATCACAACTGTGAATGTAAAACTCTCAAATTAGGAAAAGTGTTGAACAACTAATATTTATATCATTTTGTTGCATTATAATGGTGTGTGTGTGTGTGTGTATTTTATTTGTTCGTTAAACCTTGGTTTTAAATCGAACCAAATCGAAAAAAAATTGTTTGGATTGCTTTGGTTTAGAAATTGAAGTGGTTTGGTGTGGTTTAAAAAAATTTCAAACCATTTTAAATGATTTGATTTGAAAATTTGTTTCAAATTGCCCAAATCGAGCCATATTCACCCATAGCATCTATGGAGAGATGGATGGATTCTCTCCATCCACACATAGTGGGACGGAGAGTTCATCCTACAGTGAATCTCTTCGTGTATGGAGATATTGATTTTTTTTGTTTCATTTTTTTAAAATTTATTTTGTTCATATTATAAATAATTTTTTTAATCTAAAAAAATTCTTTTTAATTCTTTTCTTTTTACGATAAAACTTAATTCTTTTAATTTAAATTAAATAATATTTATATATTATTCATTTAATTTTTATAACTTTTTTTTCTTTTGTTTTTATTTTATTTTTTAAAATTTTTTTTAGTTTTTTTTTCATATTATAAATAATTTTTTGTTCGATTTAAAATTATTTTTAGTGATAAAACGTAATTATTTCAATTTTAATTAAATAATATTTATTTTTAATTTTATTTGTTTCAATTTAATTAAAAAACTTTATAATAACTTTTTTCTTTTTATTTTTGCCTGAATTTTTTTGTTTTAATTTTTAAATCATTAAAAATCTTTCCTTTATCAGTTGAATTGGATGAGATGATGTAGTGTGTGAAAATGGATAAATATTACAACGGAAGTGGTGGTTGCAGTGAAGTGGTGTGTGAAAATAAAGAAACGATTGGACACAAATGACGCCATTTTTGCTCTCATAAAAAAAATAAAAAAACTACAGGTGCGACCAAATAGAATTATCCATTGTTGCCTCTACGGTATCTCGAAGATTGCCCTTTTCATATAATACAGATTTATAGGATTCTTTCAAAAGTATATTGTTCACGCAACCAAATAAATTCATTTTCGAATCATATATTAATTAATTTTTTTGCTTATAAACTCATAATTTTAGCCGTTTGTGTTTCGGTTCATAATTTTATGTTTGTTTCATTTTATAATGTAAAAATATTTGGACAAGTATTGAAACTTATTTTGAAATTTTTCATATATTTTCAGCCGTCAAATCAATACTTAAAAAAAGCATAAAAATAATATTCGATTTTTCATATCATGAAAAAATTATAACTATAATAATTTGTTGACTATTATTTTTTTTTTAAATTTCCATTGAAGAGGATATTTTATGATTTAGGGTTTCATGATTTTGGTTAAAGATGATGCTTCATGATTATTAGAATTTTAATTAAACATGAACTCTAAAAGAATATAAAAAGGTTTAAAAAGTATTCATGAACATAAATATTAGTGGATGAATTCAGAAAAATATATTTTTATTTAATTTTATATATGTCGATTAGGTAAATTTACATTAGATCAAAAATATAATATAATCATCTTTTTAAAAGTGAATGTATATATAAAAACCGTGGATGTAAATAGCAATACCCTAAAAAAAGTAATTAAAACAATATATGTATTTCAATATATGACATTTTTTTTCTATTAGAAAAGATTACAAAATACACTCTATATAGAGTGTTGTAAAATATTCAATTCAATTCTTACAATCTTTTGTATTAGATTATTCAATTCAATTCTTTGTAGTAAATTAGAAAGTCCCAGTTTTGAAAATGATAAGTATAAAAAGTTTTTGGAATTTGAAAATTTTCTTAGTTTCTAAAATGAAAAGTACGAAAAGTCTTTGAAATTTGAAATTTTTAAAAACTATTTAGGTGGCAATTATTATGGGTATAAATTTTACTTTCAAGAAAAAATCTTTCAATTTATAAACGTTTTGAATCCTAAATTCTTCTTAGCAATAAATATTTAGTAGACTTTTTCTTTCCTACCATTAAATATTTAGTAGACTTTTTCTTCCCATCAATCTTTAAAAATTTTTAATTCGTTGTTTCAATTGCTAAAAATATCTAACTAGTTCTACTAGAATTTTTTTTTTTATTATTTTCTCTTATAATATTTGCTCGTTGTTGTCTTTCTTTACAATCTTTAGGATCTTCTATCAAGAAACTCAAACACTGAGAGATAGAGAGCTCAATCATTTGCTTATTGATCTGTAATGAGGGATCAACTCTATTTCTATCTAGAGCGGATAAAATATGACTTCCTACGACGACTAATCTTTCTATCTCTCTATTTTCTAAACAAGTAATAATATATTCGTTAAAACTTTCCAATCAACAAATAAGTAAGGTAATGTAATTTAAAGGCATAAAATATTAAAAATTTAAAACAATATGTTTGTAATGGCCTTTGAGTACTTTACCGTTCAACAAATTAATTTCTTCATATTAATTTTTTTAACTCTTTCTTAGCTTTTTTCTTGACATTTTAAAGAAGGTTTAAGACTGTAGCCAAAAAGATTTTCATCATATTTAAAAAAACTTAAACAAACTCTCATTATTTGGACACAAATTAGCCAACTTGACTCAGAGTATTGCTTTATCTTTTGACCATGGAATCCAGAATAAAGAGGTTAAGAGCGTTAAAATTATATTTTTCAAACAGAAATAAAATATTATTTGCGAATAAATTAATTGCTTACTTGGTATTTCCCCTTTTAGGCCTTACCCGAAAATTAACTAAAGTAAACGAAAATTATAAAAAAGAAAAGATATGAAAAGAACTTACTTTAATTACGAAATTTTTGAATATACAAAGATGGTGGAGATTTTTTAGTACAAGTGTGATAGTGTGCTTTGTGCTTTTTTCGGTGTGTTTTCTTTCGTGAAAGGTGTGGGTATTTATAAACGCTGGTACATCACGTCTATTCTGTTGATGTTGTAAGTGTGCTATCAATAATTGAATAATACCGTGCAAACTTTACATGTGTGCGATCAAAAAAATAAAATAAATAAATAATGTGCAATTTTCCATGTGAGTAATTAAAAGAATGAATTATTTGAAAAGATGCTTCTGACAACTTTTGTCTTCACGTCTGACTTTTCTTGAAATATGAAAATCAACTTTGCAGAGAATCTTTGAAATATGATTAAAAGCTTTATCTTTACGTCTCTTCTTTTTGACTTCTTTATCTTGCTAATTATTTCTCAATCTTTCCATTTCGTCTTTATCTGTCTATTATTTTTGCTATGGCTTCTTCTAGTTCTGGATCCATCTCATTATCGTTGTCATCATATATGTATGCTTCCTCTTCTGTTTCTGATAGGGTTTCTATAAATTCTCCATTAGTCTCTTGAAATGCCATTAGATATAAATTTTTTTGTTCAATATTTGATATTAGAATTTTTTCTGGTTTAGTTCTCATGGCAAGGTGCTATTGGCAGAAAAAAATTTCGTTGTTCCATTGTATTACTAATCTGAAATCATTATTTTAAACTTTCATCATGGCTGCGGTTTCTGATATTTTTCTTTTATAATCAATCTGTCTAAGTTTTATTTTAATATTCGTCCTTGAATAGGGTCTAAATCTTTTGGCTCCTTCATAAATTAAAATACAATAATAAGCTGAAATTACAATGTCATTATTTACACGATGGGGTATGGAAATGAATTCAATCACTAAGGGATGTTCTTTTAACTGATCAAGAATCTGTTTAAATTTTGGTGGAAAAAATAAGAAAGATTTGTTTAATATGTATATAGTATTTATCATACCAAACTGTAGAGCTGGGTAAAAGAGGTTTTCTTCTTCAAAGATTGTATAATCAAAGGAAATTGTTGGATAACTGTGTTTAAGGAATGTTGAATTTTGGGCTGCATCGTATTTGAGATAATGTCTAAGAAAGTATCTATTTTTATTATAATAATAACTTAAAATTTGAGCAAAATCTATAATTTCCTGTACAACAGAATTCTTTATAGAATTTCGAACAATATTGGCGCAATCACCAATTTTCTGTTCTAATTCGTATAAAGTCTTTTCCTGTCCTGCAGCTGTAGAATATGTTAGTTCAATAAGTCTTTCTGTTTTATCAGAATAATTTCTACTTGTGGATGCGATGTCTTTAGAAATAGGTTTTTCAAGTGTATTTTTAGAAGAACTAAGTTTGTCTAAACTATTATGCAATTTAAGAATCTTATTTTGATATTTACTAATAGTTTGTTGGGATGAAGAAATTTGATATTCAAGGAGTTGTAGTCTTTATTCTAAAAATTGCTTTCTAAGATTTAAATTTCTTGCAATTTTGGTCATAGTTTCACAACTATCACAAAGTTGTATTGATTAAGATGATGATGAAGCTTGAAAGGGGGTTTGTATGGTCTGTCTAATTCTTTTGGATATATGAAAATTAAATCCTATCATTTCTCTACAAAAATTTAAAGTTTCTTTAAGCGTATAAAATCCTTTGAAAAGGGGGTTGAGAAATATTTCTACTTGTTGTAGTACTTCTGGCCAATAATTATATATTCCAGGCTTTCTACCTTTAATTACTACAAAGAAACTAAAATTTTTGCTTCTACTTGATTATAACTCTGTCTAAAATGGTTAGATAGAGCATTAATGCTGTCTAATTTTTGTTTAGAATCACATGCCATCCAAATATTATCCAGTAGATAACGCTCCCTTTCTGATAGTCTTTCTAAATTATTTCTTCTGAATCGAAGATTAGACCTTGAGGGGCCACTCTCAGAGTGACATTTACAAAGTTCATCATCCTTTGATCCATCTGCACCCTGAAGATAATGAGTTAGAAAATTAATAACCTGCCTACTTAAATTATCTGCTAAAATATTATTTTTTTTGTCAATATGTTCTATATAATTTTATAGCTGCTTAATATCTCATATAATTTCAACCATCTTTTATATCTTATTTTATTAAAATTTGTCATTTTAATAAATTTTACTATAACTTCACAATCTGTTCTAATTGTAAATTCAGTGTTTAAAAATAATTTAAAACTTTTCATACTATGTATGATGGACATTATTTCATAATCTAAACTAGTTAAATATTTTCCTTTTATCTTGTATTTTTCGCTAGCATATTTACAAATTTCTTCTTCTTTTTTATCATTATATTTATTTGGTTTGGAATATAAAATTCCTCATCATTCTAATTCACATCCATCTGTTTCGATTATTTATATTCACTATCTAATGGTGGTAAATTTTTAACTTCTGTTTTTATCTTTTTAACTAATCCTATATCTAATTGATTAAAATATTTTTGTCATTTACTAGATAATTTACTATACAATGGTCATACTTTCCTTCCTAAATCTTTAATAAAATGTCTAGTATAATTTAATATTCCTAAAAAGGCTTGTAATTTCTTGGTTTCCTTAATTTTGTCTGAAAATTGTAAAATTGTCTGTACTATATATGGTTGTAACCGAATCATTTTCTCTCTTAAAATTATTCCTAAAAATTCAAATTTTTGTTTGTTTATTTTCATCTTCTTTTTACTTATAATTAAACCATTTTCTATAAATTTATTTAAGGTTATCTCTAGATGTTTCATTTGTTCTTTATAGTTTTTACTAAAATATCATCTATATATACACAAACAAATGGAAGAGAATTAAATATACTATCCATCTTTCTTTGAAAAATAGAGGTTGCATTTTTAATCCAAAAGACATGACTAACCATTCAAAGTGTCATAATGAAGTAATAAAAGTTGTCCAAGGAATAGATTCGTTTGCCATTTATATTTGCCAAAATCCAGACTTACAATCAAATTTAGAAAATATCTTGCTATTTTGTATTTTATTTATTAGCGTATCCTTAACTGGTATGCTATATCCATATTTTATAGTATTGTCGTTTAATCTTTTAAAGTTTATAATCATTCTTGCTTTTCCTCTTTTTATTTCTCTATGGTTTCTAACCATAAAAGTTGTTGATCTGTGTTGACTACTAGACGGTCTTATTACTTTTAAATCTAATAATTCTTTAATATGTATGTTAAAATCTTCTATATCTTGATTCGTATGTTTTATTTATGCTATTCTATTTTTTATATTCTCATTTATTATTTCTAATTTAGTTTCTATTTTATTTTTATCCCAAAATTTTATAGGGCCTTCTCCTATTATTTGAATCTTTTCAGCTAATTCTAAAATTTTGTCTATAATATCTATCTTAGAAGATGTCTTGTTAAAAATTACTAATTCTTTATTTCTTGGTATAAAATCTGTTTTAAAGTTTCTAAAGATATATTATCTAAAAATTCTAATTTTTCTACATTTTCTTCAATTTTTGGGTCTGATTCTGGTTGTAAGGGTCCACCACACTTAGCTCGCAATTCTGATGATTCTATAGTATTAATAATAGAAGTGTCTTTTCTAAAAATTATAACATCAGGAGTAATTGTTAAACTTCAATTTCTTCTAAGCAAGAATTTTATTCCTATAACAAATTCATATTTTATCAATGCGCTAATTAATGTAGTCATTAAACTATACTGTCTTTCTTGGAATTTAATCTTACAATCATCAGAAAGTCTTTCTTCGAATCTCATTTTACTACCATCCAGTTGACTTCCTCTTATTTCATATTCTAATTCCTGTCTACAATCTTCTGGCGCTAGATCTTTTCTGATTATGTTAAATGTACAACCTGTGTCATTAATGCTATCAAATTTAATTTCATCATTTTGTTTATCTATACTTCTATAGGTATTCTGATATTTTTTATTGTCTTTACTCTAGATATTCGAAAAGTTCTTTCTTCCCGATTTTCTGTTTCCAAATTATTATTTTCTATGTAATTATCTATGGGATGTTTTCCTTTTGTTTCTAGATTTCTAATCCTGTATTGTATTTCTCATAATGTTTCGTATATTTTGTCTATTTTATTATTTGTATCTGTTATTTTATTTTCTATTCTTTCTATACTTTCACTATAGTCTTTATTTTTATTATTATTTATTTCTTCTTTAATACCTAAACAATTATTGCATTGAATTTTTAGACAATTCTTACACTGATTTCTATTTTTGTGTCCTAAGTATATTTTGCATATTTTACATTTATCCATCATTGATCCTTATCTTCTAATCCATTCATGGATACATTTTTGTTCTATATTCATCATCTTTATATCTAAAACTGAAAAATCTAGTTCTTTTAAACTATCATAATTGTCTTCAGAATTACTTGTTATTTCTAAATTATCTAACTCTTCATCTGTTTAAATACTATATACTGAGTTACAAGATTCATTATCAGATAATTCTATTATGTTACATTGTATTTCTTCAATTATCATAAATTTAGCTGCATTTTATTTATTTTTATATTTATTTGGGCATTTGTTAGCAAAATGTCTAGGGTCTCCACAAATATAAAATTTACAGTCTTTTTTAGATTTTGATTTTCTAACATATCTATTATAATTTGGTCTTTTATTTTTATATATAGCCCCTATTAAGCATCCGTTCTTTTCTCATTTAAATGAAAAATATGATCATTATCTATCACATCAAGCGACCAAATTTGAATTTCTATTTCTTGTGTGGGAGCACATAACGACTATATTTTTCATTCTCATTTTTACAAAAATGGGAAACAAACGCCCCCATAGTATGTCCTACTTGGTCTAATATTATATTTCTTTTTATTTTGGTATTGCTTTTTATATTTTTGTTTTTTAATCCTTTTTATACAATTTTTTCTTTATTCTTCTATAGTAATATGTTTGTAGTGTATATACATCTGAGCAAAAAGAATAATTTAATTTCTTTATTTGCTTTCTAGCTACTTCTTCTATATAATATTCTTTCAATTTATCAGTTATAAATTTTATAGTGGCACTTATAGTTATTTCCCTTGCTGGGTTTGACTGTACATCTTTTCTAATTTTATCATTTCACGGTGGTTGTATTTTTTTATATATAATCTTTCAAGTACAGGGTAATCTAATGTTAATCCTGCTGCACTCGCTAATCTTTCAAAACCTAACAAAAATGGTTGTATGTATTTCATATTACTAATGCTTTATTTTTCTAAGTCTTCTAAAGCTTTATTTTGTTCATAAGTGTTATCTCTACTGTGATTAAAAACCTATAATTAATTCTCTAATAAAGCTTGTAAAATTTCTAGGATTATCTCCTCCAGCCATTCTTAATCTAATTTCATCTGATTTTAATCTTTTTGCTGTAACGTATACATTTAAAGCAGTCTTTCCTAAATAAGTTTATAAATAAGCCCACATTTCTTTTAAAGTCATTTGTATAGGTACACTGTTATACGCTCTAATTATAGAATTTTTCCATTTAGTTATAGTACTAGGTCTGTC